GTCGAGAAAAGCAAACACGGAGATGTGAGATGCGGAAAGAAAGAAAACGAAAGAAGAAAAGGAAAGACAAAAAGACCTCGCACGATGCAGAAAGTGACGGGACAGACTCGTCACCCGCGTGCACAGAATGGGTAAGTGCGAACACCAAGCAGTACAGAACGAGAGCGAAAGTAAAAGAATAACAGTAAGCAAAAACAAAAGGAAAAATCCCAGCAGGAGGCTACCATGCAGCGGTGCAAAGACGCGCTCGTCGCTGCTGTCTCTCGGAAGTGCTGTCCTCCACACTGGGCTATGCGACACGCGTACCACGAAGACGGCAACGCGCGGATGCGGCCTAGCTGCAGGCTTCAGCTACACGCCGTCGTGCTGATTCCGCTTAGAGCGTTGCGGAACCGTTCCTCAAACTTCTTCTTCCGACCTTCCTTCTCCTACTGCGCGGACCGCCGGACGTCTCAACACGTGACACACGCGACACGTCTCGCGCGGTACGAGTTCTATATCTTACACGTACCCGCTGTCTGCACGTGCTGTAGCAAACCCGACGGTTGGGAACAGCTACCTAGGATTGCGACAGACGTAGTATTCATGGCCACTTCGTGACCGGTAAGGAAAAAGAAAAGCTTTACGAACGGATCCATTCGGTTCCCCTTGAAAGGATGCATATAGACCGCAGATGGGAAGTATAAAGTGAACGTTGTAGACATGTATCGGAGACCAAAATGGCAAGCTTGGAACTGTGCACAGGTTGGCATGCTCAAAATAGAACAACGAAAAATGGATGAAGGATGGAGACGAAGGCAACGTGGACGCTGGTGTCCAATTAAACGTCGCCTTGCTTTGTCTTTGATACGCATACAGAAACCCAGGCGTGCACTCAGGGTGGAACGACGGGCAGCCGGGGGGGAGGGGAAGGTTCAAGCCACCTCCTTCATCCTTCTTCTACCCTTAGTCATTCAGATGCCGCAATGTGGACCCCACACCGCTACACCATAGTCAAAACGGGAGCTAACGTTGCCATTCGAAAGGACTATATATGCGCAGCTCCGAAAGGACATTTGGCGTTAGTAAATTCGACGAACGATTGGATTACTGAACAACTGAAACCAGGGCGCCGATTCTAAAGGATGTTTTTCTTTCATGGTTGTCTTTTAACACAGGATGCCCATTTGCGGAGCCTCATGAAAAACTTCGCTTGAAACGAGTCACGTCTATATATAACTCATGACAATAGTTATTAAAAAATATATAGGAAAGTAGTGTACGCGTAGCGGGCCGCAAAAGAAAAGTTCGTGGGCCACGTGTTTGTGATTCCTGCTATAGCGCCATAAGACACACAACAAGACATGCCACAAGCTCCAGCTCCGGACGAAGCTATGCGCGAAACCACATGGGTGTTGTTATTGAAATCTGACTTCAATGTCAAAGTATCCAAGAACTAGGTTACGGTCTTTCGCCAATGCACTAATAATGAGGCCCTACTTACGCCATTGATGAGGTGATCGATATGTGAACAAAATATAACCAGATCATCCATACATCACATTACAGGCTGATACAGTGTCAAGGGTGACAGTCTGAACTCTCCCGTCACCTCCTGGAAGCCGGCCTTCGCTACAGTGACACAACCTGCCGCTATGACCACTGGATACACGAAAGCACACCACACAAGGTACTGCTTCCCTTCTTATACAACACAGGTCTAACGGCGACTATTTATTATACACAGGAAATAGCATGCCTTAAGGATAAGCCTATATATGCCGCATTAAAAAACAGAATGCGACTGGTTGAATAGATGCGCCAACGACCACGCAGGAAGGAGGGAAGGAATAAACTTTATTTAGAAAAGCAAGCCGACGGCAGAGTCGTCTTTAGGGTGGGTAGCGTGTCTAGTCCCAGATGACAGGGGGGGGGGGGGGGGGTATGCCGACAGCTCGGCCCCTTTAACCAGGAGTAGCTATAGTCTTCAAGGTTGGAGCTCGTCAGCTGGGCCTCTCGCGCTACTCTAAGTTATTGTGAAATGGATGTCTGAAGAAAGTATGCGTGGATATTTTAGGAACTACCTGCGCGTATTTTACAGGCTGCCCAACCGAAAATAAGAAGAAAAAAAAAACACGAAACCAAAAAAAACGCGCCGATTAATAAGAGTGGTGCCGGGCAATACAATCTCTGTTATGATTAATTGCATGTCTGCTATAAGCATTAAGTAGGCCAGGTTGGGAAGGATTAAGTGCAGGCGTTACCGGAGAGTAGCACACTGATATGCGGCCTGCAGGCTAAACTGCCAGTTGAAACGTTGCAGAGCTAGAGCTTGTCCTAAATAATCGAGGACCTGAGTAAGCAAAATACAAGAGTGGTTTTGAAGTTAATACGACGAGATCCGAAGTAACAACCATTTAGTCTAGTGAATAAACAAGGGTAGTGCATTGACATTCAGCCTCTTGCAGCAGTGATTGAGTACGTCCATACAGGCACAGGTAGTCACGAATTCTTCAGATAACAGAAAGAAAATCTTCAGAGGAATTAGAATATAGATTAGCGTATACATTTGGTCAGCATCCCCTGCGTCAATGGCAGCTTATCAATGTCGTTGAAAATAAAAGTGATTTAAGAGATGCAGCATGCCAGACCTTGAATAATGTATTGAAGATTTTCTTATCGCTCTAAACAAACAAAAAAAAAAGGATCGCTTGCCATCGGCACAACAGATGCCAAAACTTCACGACGTGGGAAGAGGACAATATGGTAATAGCAAGTATACGTTATATGAAAATAAGAAAATGGTGTTAGAACAAGCCATATAATGTGCAATTGTGTTTCAGTGCGACCTCACCTGAAGTGGAAGGAAAAGCCAGTGAAGGCGTTTGCGGTTCTGGCGAAGTGAAGGGAATTAGAAATTCGCTGCAGGCTATGGCGGACCCGCTCGTGCAAGATTGAGGAAACTGGAGCTCGCGGGCAGAGCCCTGCAGAATGCATCACGCTACGATCATGTATGTGACAAATCGTTGGTGATGATGATAACGATGATAAACACACAACGGCAGCAACACAACATCATCGGCGACCAACATATACGAAAAAAAAAAGTTGAGCCTTGCATCGGCTCCTGACGTAACATTCCACCATAGTTGGCGTGCAATAGAAGGCTGAACGTTACCTCGGTGTGACTTCTCGTATAGCCGAGAGAAGCATGTGTAAGAGCTGATTTTATCGCATCACATCCGTCGGATACAGGGGAACGATCCAATGATTAGGTACACCGCGTGTGTTCTGAAGGGGCCAACCGGATGTATCCTGTCGCCGATCTGGCCAAGAACCCAGACAGTGCCCGCGCTGGTAATAATAATTTATGGGGGGTTTTACGTCACAAAACCACGATAACATTACGAGGCACGCCGCCGAGAAGGGCTCCGGAAATTTTGTTCGTTCGATGAGAAACTAAATAGAAAAAATGAGTTCGCTCATACAGGTAAATCAATTTTTCACAATACCAAAATCACCACGCTTACCGCAAGAAGACACTTGGAAAGCGACAAAACTGGCAAAAAGGAAATGTGGGGGGGGGGGGGGGGGCGACGCCACCTTGAGGTTGCCACACCAATAGCCATGACGTCATTGGTTTTTGACGACCCCTATCAGGCCCGACGCAGTTCTTATTCGATAAATGAGAAGTACATTGACCTCTGAGGCAGCCAGAGACTTCACATAGTTTCAGGAACCCTTATTGCGCCAGTGTTGAGAAAACGTGAAAAATACAATCAGAAATTCATGGCGTGTCGTGCGGAGATTTCGGCAGAAAATTTAAAAGTGAAATTTTTATTTATTTTTTCATTTAGAATACATCACAGGGCTTCCGAAGAAGCATTGAGTGAGGAATTTATTGAGTGAGAAGCATTTATTGAGCGATAATTATAATAAACACTAAGCACAGAGAATGAATACAAAAGCCCTGCCGCGGTGGTTTATAGTGGCTGACGTACTCGGCTACTGACCCGTAGGTCGCGGGATCGAATCCCGGCTGCTGCGGCTGTATTTCCGATGGAGGCGAAAATGCTGTAGGCCCGTGTGCTCAGACTTGGGCGCACGTTAAAGAACCCCAGGTGATCAAAATTTCCGGAGCCCTCCACTACGGAGTCTCTCATAATCATGTGGTGGTTTCGGGACGTTCAACCCCACTTATCAATCATCGATCAAGAATGAATACAAAAATAAAATGCAGGCCAAAGCTGTAAACCTTTTAGCCTGTGTTTACACAAAATTAAAATTTCTAGCACACCACTAATGTAAGTTTTAAACAAGTGTTTCAAAATGTCTGTTTAGTTGTTCACGAAAGAGTTTACGGTCGTTGATTGTGACGATGGCTTCAGGAACATCATTCCACAGTGCAATGGCGCGAGGCAGAGCAGACGAATTAAAACACTGAGTCCTTCCAAACTTTGTCCTTATCTTTCTCAACTGTTTCTGAACGGTGTTATGAGCAGTGGTTTTCATAACATAATTCACCAGTATAAACTCCTTCACTGTTTCCCCTTAGCATATACCGTTAACGTGCACCTAAACGTAAGTACAGTCCACTGCGGTGGAGCAGTGCTCACGGTGTTCGGCTGCCGTCCCGAAGGTCAAGGGTACGAGCCCGGCCTCGGCGGTCATATTTCGATAATGGTGAAATGCCAGAGGTCCGTGCCCCTTTGCAACGTCAGTGCGTAAAAAAAAAACACCAGGCGGTAAAAATTTCCGGAGCACTCCACTACTGCGTCTCTGCTCTCTCGTAGTCACATCGTGGTTTTCGCACATAAAACAGCAGATAGTATTGCTATGTCATTAAATCTAGGTACTCGAGGCTCGCATTTCAACTCCACCCCACGGGTTCAGGCGGTAGGGTGGAGCACGTGACCCTTCGGTGGCCGCTCCTCGGCGTGGCCGCAGAATGACGCGCAGGGGAAAGTAGTATACGTGCGTGAAACGCACAAGGGAAAGGGACTCGACAGTTCCTGCGGCGCCGCAAGAAAAAGCGCGGGAAGAAGGCTCCCCCGGCTGACGGCCGGCCCACCGACCTACATAGCGCGTCTTTCGCCGGCCTGCTCGTTATAAGAAACCAGTCTGCCGGTTGCGTCGGCGTACTCGAGCGAACACCGCTGCCAACTCCTCCTCGACCATCTTCAGCGTCGTCGGCGACGTCGTCCATCCCGGCTTAGCGTCGGCACTCGAGCCACAGGTGAGTGTCGCGCACGCTAACGTGCCGCTACCTGCTGGGGGAGAACGACGACGGCGTGGTCTGCAGCAGTCGGAGGATACACGATGGGCGCGGTGACCGTAGGATAGATATCAGCAGCTCTCCGACACTGTCCGGCGCAAGGATGCTTTGCATGGACACCCCGCTCTCATCATCCGAGGATATACCCAGACCACCCGGACGGCCGCTTCGGCATAGTGCACTTCGGTTAGCGTGAAAGCGAGTAAGCCGTAAACACTTGGCTGCAAAAGCAGCTTCAGTAAAAATCGTTTTGAAATGTAAGCGCAGGTCTTACAGTATAACTATCGTTACACGCACCATGATAATGCTTTTTCCGACTAAAGATAACCTGAAACGTGGCATGTTAATTCCTCCCTCATCTTCCATAAATGACATCCCTACATGCGTTCCGATTCACGTTGCTGTGTTGCTGTGGAATCAACAACTGCGACTGCAATAACTGAGAATAACTGCGGAAGTGGCCTTCATTGAACGGCTCAGATATGCGATTAAGAGGATCGGGAGAGAATATGAGCAACTAATGCCGCACCATGGGTGTTGATGTCCTAATAGAAACCTCAACGCGAAACGAAGCATGAGCTTTATCACTCGATGTTGTCGGTTGTGAACTTACATCGTCTTACGTTCCGCCACTGAACGAGAGGTCGCGGGTTCGATTATCGGTCGCAGTGTACAGAATTGACTGAAGGATGAAGGACCACTGCGCGTTGAGATTTCGGGGCGCACTTGAGAAATCTAAATGACACAACTCGGAGCAGATGTTCTGTTACGCGAGATGGGAACAGGGGATTTCTTTTGAAGCCACGGTTGACGCACGACTTAGATACAAAACAGAGCAAGGATGACGCAAAGCCTTTTAGGACTTGAAGACAACACAACTGATTCCGTTTTTGTCTATTTCTTTTACTGTATTCTGTTAGCTCCCGCGAACGCTATACGCAGCAGTGACCACGGAGTGACGCTTGGGAAGCCAACCAGATCGGCCCCGTCGTCATCTGTGTCTCAACTGTTGCGTTCTATAACTGCTTCAGTCTTCCTTGTGTCTCGTGACAAAGCGACGCCGTCGTATACCTTATACCCCAAACCAATACACCAACGCGTACTCTAAGCGAAACGAGACTCGAGGGAGAGGCGAATCTTAAGGATTTCGTGAACACGTGGCTACTCGAGCAAGCCGCCTTGGCGTTGCGTTTTCGATGCGAAATGAGGCACCCAACTGGACCCCAAACGCGCGCACCTGGGCGGCCTTGCCTCGGTTTCTGAAGCGAAACGATATGCGATGCGCGACGGTCATCTTCCGATCACCACCGCAGGACGACACGGCGCGAGTCGCAGGGCTTCTCATGCGTGCATGGCGAGGAACCAATTGATCGCTCCGAGCACGAAGCCGGGCCGATAACCTCCGGGGGTCACTGTTACGCAATCAGCGCGTTGATCGGCGCACTGAAAGCGCACGGCGCGGAAGCGCTACTGAACGCGGAACTGCATGAGGTTCGCGTGATGCTAACGGTGCCAAAGTGGAACCCGCACAACCTTAAAGGCTGGTTGAATCACCGCTTGTTTTCCTTTTACTTTATTCACTTCTACGATCTTCACGGGAGCCACCCGCTGAAGAATAATAAGTAAACAACTAAGTAGACTTGTTCCTCAGTTTCTCGTGACGCTGTAAGGATTGTAATACTGCCTGCGTAAACGTGCGCAAAGGTCGCTTAGTCCTGCCGCCTCTGAGCACCGGTTACGCAAGAAACCAAATGGATATGCCGTTGCGGCAATGATCTTGCTGTTCGCGCTGCCTCCTAACTAGACTACTCAAAAACCGAAATTCCAGTTGACCCAGGAGACTGGCTGGTTAGTCCTCTCCGAAAATAGGAGGAGGAGGAGGAAAGAACTTTATTCAGAGTCCGGCGAGTAGATGGGGTGGGCGAATAGCAAATTATTTTTTAAAGAGCACACTGATCTTTCAAGTGCTCCGCTTCGTAAGTCGCCACGGGGTTAATGTATACACATTCACTTGAGCGATGTGCCGTTGTCCTGCCGTTTTGCTTACTGAGAAACATGCAGCAGAGGCCCTTCCATGGTCGAGATAGTGTTTAGGTGTTGTTTTATCTAAATTTGATATCTGAGGCAAAAAAAAAGAAAACTACTCAGTAATAAGTGAAACATTGCATGAAACTGCATGCTAACAGTATCACACGAAAGTGGAGGCGTGTAAATTGCACTGGTAAATTTACCAAAGTTAACATGCAGCTTGCTGAGATTAAATTAAGTTATAAAAACAGAAAAACAAGAACAGGACGATTAAAACAACAACAAAAAGAACCCTTACGGTTTGGGAGGGGCACTTCTGCTGGCAAGTTTTACTCATGTTTCATCAAATGTCAAATCAAATGTTAACGTAAATGCGAATGCGAATGACGGAAATGTTTGCACTATAAGACGCAAGTAGAACGCGACTGTACGCACTTGCCGATTTTGTTTATTATTTAGTTCAACGCTTCTCTTACAACGCATGCTCTATAGTACGATTTCGTTCACTTGTTTCTTCTGAGTACATCGCTTATTTCTGACCGCTTTCCGCAATTACTCAAAGCATGTAACTGCGTGCGTGCGTACATGCGTGTGTATTAGTGCATATGAAAGAGAGAGGGGGAGAGAGGAGCTCTTTATTGAAAAGCGGAATGAACAGCCAGCGTTCATTCGCCTACTCTGCAGTGATTGACATGTAAGGCAAGAAGTGCGTGAGCAGACTAACGTTCAAGTTAAAAAAAAAAGGACAAGAAAGTGCAGGACATAATTCTCTATGAGGTATAAAGAGGGTGCAAAACGTAAAATAAGTTTATGGTGTAAATATGGCGTTATGGAGAATATTTAAAGCAGAGAACCCTCATGCAAACACATACACTTTCGTGATGGAAGGACTAATGTTCGCAGAGAAAACCGGTCGCTTCGAGATATGCGAACAAGAAATTAAGTATTTTGCGCAGTTTGTATGGGCAATACCAGTGAACCAGCGTCCATCTTGAAGGCGACTGGTCTTGATCGAATAAGAATAGAGAGAGAATAAGAATGGGAGCTTGGTCGAGATTTGTTTGTTGTCTATATCATTGTCACTTGCCTCCACGTGCTGACCAAGCATGACTACATATATGTGCATAGAGGCAGGAATCGTAGGTCACTCCTGGATCTGATGAAGGAAACACAGCAGCGCAATTTCGTGTGATGTGTGGTGACGCCATAGGATAACTAAGTGGTAGATAGTAACATTTAATCTGGTCCAGAAGAATCTTCAGCCCATTATATAGGGGCAAGACAGCGGGCGGCTCCCACGTTGGGACAGGAAGGCCAAGCCTCAGCAAACACGAGAAGAAACATATAGTGGCACATATCCAACAACACGATAAGTCAGAGGAAGAGCGATGAAGGCTTCCGCTTTAACGAAGACAAAAGAAAACAACCTGGCAGGCATACGGAGCAGGTTCGACGTTCGAGCAAAGAGGAAAGTGCCCCGAGATCAAAAACGGGTTCGCTTGACCCTCGCGGTCTGGCGAAAGCAGCCTTGCGATGCTACAACCGGTACGACTACAACAAGAGGACTCTAATAAACAAGCAAAAAAGGAGCATCTCGGAGTTGCACGAATTACCCTTCGAGGGGCGAGCGCGTCTGCCGATGCACTTATGCGTATGTGTGTGCGGCAGTGCATGCGTTCGCCTTTGCTTATTTTGTGATTCCACGAGGAATTGAATGCGAGCGATCACGAAGGGAAGCCGGAAGAAAACAGCACTCCTTATGTGTTGCAAACGTTGGCGCAAAGCATGTCGAACAGGAGGAATAAAAGAACGGTGCATAACGCCGCTGCATGCAAGTATTTGTAAATGTTAAGCAGGCCCTAAAGAACATACCACAAGAAAGTGAGGAAAAAAAAAAAGAAGAGAGTTTGGCTTGAGGCGCATTGAGCCAACCACTACGCTTTCGTGTAAGGAATAGTGAGAGAAAAAAAGGAACGATATGGGTAACGCTCTGGTGAGCCTCATAACTGACGATATGGTGTTGTGGCATTAACAGAGATTTCGTCGGCCATAAAATTAACCCGGAAAGTATACGAGGCATGATCCGGCCCCACCTTGAACCCACCATTCAGGTTGTCCGAAGGTGACGTATATAAGTAGAAGTTCCTGGGTCTTGCTGAAAGCATTTCTTCTTGAACAAGGCGCTCACAATGCTGTTGGCTAAAACAACGATCGGGAGTTGAAGGTCGGTACGGCACGAAAACTCGCACTTTTACTAACCTTGTGGGCGTTCACGGCAGGGGCGCATTCAGCGCGTAACCGCTTTACCTGCGCGTAATTTATCCTGGGAGACAAAGATCTCGCGTTGCTTCACTGTTTTCTTTTTTTTTTTTCACTTTGTCTTCCGTTCCCCCGCTGTTCCTCCGCGGTTTTCCGCATGCCTGCCACGCGTTCCTTATCACGCGTGTACTGCAGTTTTACCTTGTACAGTACGAGCTTCATGCTGTGCTTTTCAAGCCACGAGAATTTTTGCTTGTAGATTTGCCGAAGTGCACCTAACTCGCATATACGACACAGCGCGAACGCCCATTCATGCACATAGCACAGCGCGCGTGCGTGCACACGATTTTCATGCGTAACCTGCACAACGTGACCCACTCGAGATCAGATAGACGCCCAGTGCACGCGACCCGATAGCCTACCTGGGAGGTGGCCAACGGCAACAAAGCATAATGGGACGGAGCTCCCTATCTCGAAACTTGAACGCCGCCGCAGTGCTTGAACAATGCTGATTGATTGATTGATATGTGGGGTTTAACGTCCCAAAACCACTGATGATTATGAGAGACGCCGTAGTGGAGGGCTCCGGAAATTTTGACCCCCTGGGGTTCTTTAACGTGCACCCAAATCTGAGCACACGGGCCTACAACATTTCCGCCTCCATCGGAAATGCA